ATAAAATTACCTAAATTAACACTTTAATTTACTTTACACAAAGTAAAGTTAAAAACACTAATAATTAAACACACTAATTCACTTTATTCCGCTCCGAAGCTTCGCTTGTTTCGCAACTTTCAATACTGCCTCGATCGCATCTTGCAGCGCCTATTTATATAAATTAGCAAACAAATATCCAGAATGTTCAAGTAAACACGCGCAAGGTACCGAGAGTTCGAGTTTTAAACTTCAAGAAGTTTAGTTCTTCGGTTCGAGACTAGATGGCGCTAGTGCCGTCGACTGGAGCGCGTAACAATAAGTTACCCAATTTGCACTTTCCCCAAAGGGATTGTCGCTTGTATCTTTTAATATCCGCGGAATGCGTAATAACCTCCCTGAGTTTAGGCTCTTTCTTTGAGATCGCGAAGTCGACCTCCTCCTTCTCCAGGAGACCCACCTCAGTCATAAGGTCCTCAAAGGCCTCTCTATTAAAAGTTATTCGCTTCTACGTGATGACAGACCCGACCGCAAAGGCAGCGGTACTGCCGTTTACTACATGAAGTCGCTTCATTGCTCCCACATCCCCACTCCGATGCTTACCAATATGGAAGCCACTATATGTAGGATAGCCATGACTAGACCAGCTACCATCATAGCCTCCTGCTACATCCCTAGCGGAACCCTCCCCCGTTAAGAGCGATTTCGAAGCCATCCTTGCATTAGGCAATTCAGTCATTATGTTTGGAGATTTCAACTCCAAGCATAATGAATGGACCTGCCTCACTACTACTAGTAGTGACAAGGTGCTGCTGAATATCACTCAGTCTCTCGACGTGAATGTCTACAGACCCCTCGCAGTCACACACTTTCTCGACATTGTCGACCATGCTCCTGACGTGCTAGACTTTGGTCTAGTAAGAGGGGTTTCCCTCAACCTTAGAGCAATCGAGACTCTCGATGATCTAGGATCAGATCACCGTCCTTAATCCCTCATCCTTGGCCATCAGCCACCTCTTCCAAAACCTACACCAACTGAAAGGGCTTCGGGGAGGCCCTAGCCTCAGCTATGGACTCTGTGGACTCTCCCATTACCCTCTCTTCCGAAGTCCTCGACTGTACGGGGGAAATAGACACCGCGGTCAAAAATCTCATCACCCTTATAAAATCCTTCCTTAAGGAAAATGAAAGGGTTTTCCCGGTTGCTAATAAGAATAGTCTACCCCTAGATATTAGCAACCTCATTAAAGCCAAAGCAAAAAAAGAGCTGCTCTCTATCTCACCCCCGAATACAGACGTACGGCCCGCCGCCTCCAACGTAAACTCCGTTCACGCCTATCCGAACTTAGAGACCTTGAAAAGAGCAACCTCATGGAGAATATCTCCCCCTCTCATACAGCGTACTACTAGATGGCGAGACCCCTCCGGATAGACGCTATCACTCATACTCGCCCTCTCTCACGTCCCGACGGCTATATCCATTCGAGGACGATGAAAAGGCAGAGTGCTTCACAGACAGTCTCGACACGCAATGCTCTCCCAGCTCACAGCCCCCTTTCACATCCAGGAAGTGGTGGACGAGGTCTGCCGCCTGAACACAAACCCCGCCGCCTCTGACCCTATCACTGTATCCAAAGATGAGATTTCATCAATCATCAAAGGACTGAAGCTTAAAAAAGGCACCGGACGTGGATAAACAATTTCGGGGGCAGGTGATCGCCTTATTGGCCATTATCTTCAACGCCTGCTTCAACTTTAGCTACTTCCCCAACTCTTGGAAAGAGGCAACTGTCATTGGCATTCCCAAGCCAGGCAAACTCACCACCTCCCCTCCAATCAATCAGCCTCCTCAAGGCCATGGACAAACTTTTCGAACGTGTTATCCTCACGCGCATGAGGCGCCACCTATTTTCCACAGACGGCGATCCTCTTGTCATCCCTCAACAATTTGGGTTCCGAGCCAAACACTCGTGCCCCCAGCAAGTTCACGGTATAGTGTAATATATCCTCAGCGGTTTTTATCCTCGACGTCAGAAGACCATCGCGGTCTTTTTCGATACTGCCAAGGCATTTGATAGAGTCTGGCACGAAGGCCTAATGTACAAATTGTACCACTTAGGCCTCGCTGACCGTCTTGTCCGTCTCGTGGCCTCCTATTTGAAGGATCGTATCATCATCAAATCATCTCATCGTCAAATCAAAGCGGGTATCCCTCAAGACTCTGTGCTTTCCCCCCTTCTATACAAACTATTCACCAACGACATTCCTATCCCGTGGAATGGTGTCAAACTAGCTCTCTTTGCAGATGACACAGCCCTTTACTCTAAGTTTAGCCCTCTTTGCAGATGACACAGCACTCTAATGGCAACTCACTGCTACAGATTCGGAACAAGATCCAAAAGTCAGTTAGTGACTTAGGAGCTTGGTTTCAAAAATGGCGTATCGATGTAAACCCGGAGAAGAGCTCCGCCGTTTGCTTCGAACACAAACGACGCCGTGTCACTGCCATTCCGTCCATCAGGATGTTAGGAACCCCTGTCGCCTGGCAAACAAAAGTTAAATACTTAGGCGTCACACTTGATACGAGGCTTACTTTCCAGCCCCATATCAAGAAAATAACTCGCACCGCGCAATTTTACATGGGTAGGCTCAACAGCATGTTTGGCATACACAGTAAAATGTCCCTCCGCAACAAGCGAACCTAAACCGAACTACATAAGGTATATGGAATACGACCCGTTATGACCTACGCGGCCCTCGTTTTTGCTCACGCCAATCCTAGATTATTAAATGAAGTTCAAATAGTTCAAAACCTTTTCAGTCGACGGGCTACGAACGCACCCTATTACGTCCGTAACGCCGACCTCCACAGATACTTAAGAGCTCCCGACAATCCAGCAATTCCTAAAATCACTCTCTGAGAAATTCTTCAAAGCCTCAGAGTCCCACTCAAATCACCTCATTCGCGAGGCAGCTGCCTATGTAGCCCCACTTCGCACTCGCTATAGTGTCCGCAGACCGAGAAACTCTCTCGGACCCCCCCCCCCAACAAGCTTTCGGTCGAACTGAACTGCCTCCTAGCAGCTCAGGCAGAGCCTCCACAACTCATATCGTAATCTGCCTTAGTTAGGCAAACTTCTAAGCGGATACTCACCGCTTGCCCCCCTTTCAACCTAAGGGGTCGCGTCAGATACGGTTTAAAAGATCTCTCGCTAGATCAATAAGCCAGACTCACAGGTGGTGTTTAGTGGGTAAGTCACCACATAACCACACAGCCGGCTGCGTGGTATGCCATGAGCATTCACCACCTCTCTCACCTGTTTACGGGAGGGTAGCCCTTATTTTCTTCTGGGCGCAAAATAAAATTACACTTCGTTCGGAAAGTTCGGCACCAGCTAGCTACAGTTTCCAGTTATAAATAAAAAAAGAAAGGAACCCTAAAAGTAGGGAAGTAAGGTAATATACAGTACACTAAGTACATGACTGACGTGAGGACCGCGACCATTCCTTGAGGACCCGTATTATTAGTCGTCAACCCCTTTCTTTTAAGAAACGGCGTCGTTGTACGGAGTTGAACGTCTAGGGTCATGCCCACCTCGTAGCCCCGAACCCAGTGTGGTGCTGTAGGTGGTCCCTGATAGGAGGAGCAAGACCCGTGTCCCATAAGTCCGTGGTGGTAGGGACTTCGCAGCCGGTTTAGAAAGCCAGACGAAGGAAGTGACCTGAACGCCATTTCCCATTTTGCCGTTAGGAGCCAAGTCAAGGCCAGCATCGGCAGAGGAAGACGATCATCCGTTTTAACGTTATTATCGTCTATTATCGTGCGCCCGGCGAAGCGATCGGGTACCTTATAGTTTAACCACCCTTTTTAGCTATTACAATATTTTATATATTTTATAGGCCTATGCCTAACCTAAGTTACATACTGAATTAAAGGTTATAATATAAGCAAGATATAATATATATATATATATATATATATATATATATATATATATAAGATATACTCAAATATCTAGATGGGCGTTTGGGATATTTGTTATAACTGGTAACCTTTTAATATTGCGATTGTGTGTCCTTCTAACCGTGGCAATTGACATAGGCCACTCCAATAGTATTACTACTATGGGAGAGGGCCATGTCTAACTGTGGATTATTGAAGTTGGTGATGAATTAGCATTTAATGCATGAAAAAAAAACAAATATAAATCAAATACGAAAAATTATAAGTGATAAAATAAGTAATAAATCATGTCCAGCGATTGCTCATATTCTGTTACTGTAGCATTATACTGAGTCTGTGGCTCTTTTGTTGCTGCAATTCTATATTTTTTTTATATATTTAATTAAGTTTTGTTTATCTTTTCCGTAAAAGTAACATTTTGTAAAAGTAAGTTGCAGCAATAATGGTATTAATATGTAAAATCGATATGCATTGCACTTTGGTTTATTGCACCCTTATAGTTTTCCATAAGTCAACAGTAGTTTTAATTACGTTTATTTACTTATACTATATAAGATTGCTATTAGTAAAATTATTAAATAGTTACCACCCTGTCTCTTCTATGAGTGCTGAAAGTAGGGTTGCTACATACTCAGTTTTAAATATTAGACTTAAAAGAGTGCACAGTCCACCTGATGATCAGTGGATGCTGTGTAAAATAGACACCTACATCATCTACCCATAACTAATTATCAAAATGCAGATGCACTGTCACTCCTGAAGACTAAAATGGAGCGTTTTGTTATCAGTTGTGTATGTGGTTTTTCCCCAGTTGAGCCGACCCATTTGCCTGTTTCAATTTCAACCATTGTTCAACCACGTAAAAAAATTAATAGATTAAAGTGTTTATTAAATATTTTTTTTTAGTTAGAGTGCTACTGAGAATTTCCTTTACAGGAAAACCCAATATTTGATTTTATCCTGACTCGGATTCCATCTTGGGACGTCATGATCAGCAAACACGTCTACGAGAACTAGAGCGACAAGGCAGTCATGCTGTAGGGTAAGTGCAGCATACCTGCTTGGTGAAGGCGTGTCTCTGCACGTGCGGCTCTGAGAAGTCCTTGGTGTAGTTGAGGCCGCACTCGCCCAGCGCCACGCACTCGGGCGCGGCGGCCAGCGCGCGCAGCTCCGCCCACTGCGCCTCTTCCACCATGGACTTCGCGTCGTGCGGGTGCACGCCTGCACCCACAAGTAATAAGTTCTTCAGCATATTCACCACAGCCTAACATGTTTAAGCAATGTAAGGAACTTACACATGGTGGTGAATAGAATAAAATAGAAGCATTCAATATAAAATACAAGAATACTTATAAAAAGTATGATTAAGGAGAACCAGCAAGAAACTTGAAGGGAATTTTTTGAAATATTCATTTACAATATATTATTTTATACAATTAATTATGAAAACATTTAGAAACAGTATGGTAGCGATGGGATTATTATCAATCATGTACTCTATTTTCTAAAATAACTTTAAATTTTTTGATAAATCACTCCGGCATATATTATGTGACTGTTGTTAAAGCATATACATTGCCCCATGAAGAAATTGCTGACTCTAAGTCAAGTAACTAGTATCACTGGCTCGTGTTTGGTGCTTGTGTAAGATGTGACTATGGTCAATCCCAAAAAATGCCTAATTTGCAGTATCTGCATTAAAGGTGCTCATAACTAGTACTGCTATGGTCAAATCATCTGCAAAGCGTGAACATTGAGTAAGTAAGTGGTTGCTGTGGTCCACAGACATCTACATCTATCCTCGATCACAAATCAAAATGCAGATGTGTTGTCACCCATGAGGACTAAGATGGAATGCCTTGTTTCCAGTAATAAGGGTCTCCAGTTCTCTACACTCACCATCCAAAACACAGCAGCATTAAGCTACTATTTTACGCTGGTATTCTGTGAGAGTGTGATCCTTCTCCAGTCAAGCCTTCATGGCACTACCAAATATAGATATATATATATATATATATATAAGATATTTATCAACATAGAGCGCAGGCTCAAATACCCAAAAATTTGACAACTGTTATAAACCACTTCTGAATAAGCATTTAGCTTAGCAGGAGTGGTTAAGGGACATAGAAGTCATGTTATATAACAATATAGTATTTTATTAATTAAAATAGATGAATAGATGACTCCAAGGACCAACAAGCAATAGTGAAGAAAGTTTGTCGAGTGACAGCCTAATACCAGTAAGTAAAGTTTTGGGCACCGCCACTAAGTGAAGTGACAATCTGGTACAACATTCAAGAAGTCGATGGATGCAGGTGGCACAAGACATTGATTTGTGGCTTTTGTTAGGGGAGGCCAATGTTCAACAGTGGACTTGTGAAGAACTGTAATGATATAGATTATAATGATAAGCAAACTGAATTGAACCAGCACCACTGAAATTGATAAATGGAATTTATTTAAATACAGAGTTACTATACTAGCTTCATGTTTTTTGAACTGACACAATAGTATGTATGTGAATAATATCTTATCTCACCTTATCAATAACCAAAATAAAGTTATAAATAAATTGTGTTTTCTTAATACCCACATTTCCAGCAAGGAGTGACAGAAACAAACATTTTGTGGTATGAAGTCTGCACTCATGCACAGTTCTTAATACATATTTTTAATTGTCTACAGAGAAAAAACATTTTTTTCTTATAGAATAAGGGTGACAATCAAGCACACAGTGCACCTGATAGTAAGTGGAAGCTGTGCTGTAGTCCATAGACGTCTATATTTATCTTCAATTAAGAAACTAAATGCATATCAATATCAATAGTTGTAACATTCCTACTACATCCAATAGATCTTACTTAGTTTCACTGCATAATAGTATGCTGATGTGGCAATGAGTTAGCTATATAATTCAAGAACCTATTTTCATTATCTCCATATCACCCTGTAACAGTCCAAAACTGGACACTAAGATTATAGGAAAAATTTATCATAATCACTGCTCTTATCTGATTGGTAACCACAGCACCTCATACCTATGCCGCTGCCTTTATATAAAGTTAATGCTGCTGCCTATAGTTAGTCTGGATATTTTAATTTTAAATATAAAATATACTGGAAGGTGCATATTATATCAAACGTTGGCACCACTATGGTTCTTATGGTGCCACAATTTGAGGTGGATTTGCATAGATCTCGATGAGATATGCCAAAGAGAAAGAATAAAAATTTTCATAACCTGCTTAGTTACAGAGATATCTATATGTACTCAAAAATTACTTTTGTTTTCAGAGGAATATTGACTCAGGTAAGTCTGCAACGGCTTCGGTGCTGTGTGATGTGCAGCATTTTTGCCCTTGCGTAGCAAACCACACACACCAATGCTCACACATAGAAGCTTTGGCTTTTGGCCTCAGCCGCTACGGTATTCAATTTTAGAGTATTGAAATATCAGAAACTAAGCGAGATAGCAAATAATTTTATATTACTTTTCAGCAGATCTTATCAACATCTATGAGAATCCGCCTTCAAATTGGGGCGCCATAGGAACTGTAGAAGCCCTCAAAGACTTTCAAGATTTTTTGTCCTTTCCCATATTCAAGTTTATAAGTTCATTATAATAAAGTTGAATACTTTTAATACATTTAAGTTATAATAAAAAAGATGGTAAATTACATACCTGCCGTGGAATAAATTGTGCCAGGATAAAGACGAGTCAATCTAAGGGCCTCCTTGCTATTTCTTACCGATGTGCCAGTAACCATTATTTTTTGGACGCCTGCACAAAATCAAATATAAATACAATACTCTTGTGATACAATGAGTTGCTATAGTGTACATATAATACGTAATTTACGCTATCTAGAATAAGCGGACAGTATTGATGCAATTAATTTTGACAGCGCTAACAAAACAATTCGTTAGTGTCGACAGAATGTTCATATCTGCACGCGACGTTCAGATATATTTTTTTCTTAATGAATCTTTCACACGCACCTGCATCTTTTGCCCTCTGCACAACTGAATCTAGATCACGTCCGTACTTTTTGTTCGTTAGATTCGCGCCGATATCAATTACAATAAGATTCTCGTAACAACCCTTCAATTCCTCCGAAATCTGCGTTTCTTCAGACGTCATACTTAATTTTGTTTAAAGCTTATTGGTTTGGTGTTTACCTACAAATAGTGAAAAAATAACGTTTGTTCTGTATGTAGTTGCTGTAATGAGATCAGATATATACTTACAAATTGTATCAAACACTCCTGCTTAATAAGCTTTCGAAAATTCTAATGACTAGTCAAAACGAACACCCTACTTACTAAGCTGCCACCATGTTTTGAAGTGAATTTTCTTCGCTACATATTTGGCAATCCCCGTTCTTGTACTCAATGGCAACGTCACAAGAGGTTTGCGATAGCAACTTTTCTATTGGCCATAAGAATTAATCTTGAATTTCATTTGTCGATTGTTATTACTCGACAGTGAAAGCGAAAACATAGAATTTACGTTCCACCTTTGTGTCATTTACGGTTTATATAAAAATGTTTTAATTTGAAGTAGATATTAATAAATTATTTGTGAATTTTTAGTGGAGACGGTAAAATAAGTAATAAATAACTCAATTGCACGTGTCGAGATACCTAATATCGTTAAAGAAGTACCCGATTTGAATCGATATTTTATAAAATATCGATATATACAATCGATATATCGAATCAACCCGATATTATCGAATCATCTGATATAATGCACTAAATGTTCCTTTTTGCATTTACTCTAAAGATTATTTATTTATGTAGATTAATTCATAAAAACTAATTCAGAGTTATTTTGAGTACCTAATTAGTCCACTGTATGTAAAAGTATTACTTTTTAGAGTTCCGTACCCTAAGGGTAACCAACTAGACCTTTTTACTAAGCCTCCCCTGTCCGTCGGTCCGTCTGTCAGTGGGCCGTATCTCATGATTCGTAATAGGTAGACAGTTGATATTTTCTTAATGTGTATTTCTGTTGTCGCTATAACAACAAATAAAAATAAATAATCGCTATAACAACAAATAAAAAAAATAAAAAAATATGTAGGACTCCCCTACGAGAAACTTGTTTTACGTTGGTACGGAACTCTTCATGCGCGAGTCCGATTCATGCGTGGCTGGTTATTTAAAAGTTGGTAACACTACCTCACATCGCGAGTTGCCAACTGGCCTAAATGTATTTGGAACCAGTCCATTAAATATACAAAAAAAATGTGTCAGGTTCGCACGCGGTAGAAGTAAAACCTTCAGAAAAGGAGACCAAAATTATAGAAAACAATGTGTACTGTATTCTGTCTCATTCTTTCGCAGACTAAATTCAAAGGATGATGTCGCTATTTCGTTTAATCGAGTTTCAAATCACAACAATTCTAAAGAAGTTTTATTAACAATTCTAAAGAAAAAATACTTTTATATATTCTCATTTGTTTTATTTACTTAGTGAAGAAAAGTGATAACAAATCTGTGTACCTGCAGAGAAGCAGCCATATTCACTGCTCTTATCAAGCCAGCAAGACAAAAGACTAAATAAAATTTTGTTTTTACAAGGCTAAGATAAGAAATATTTTGACTTTTAAAAATAAGTTGAATCCTAACTTAACCCTAGTATTTTTTTTACTTATCACATTAAAATGCGATAAAAAATCTTATCACATTAAACTTCCCTTTTTTGTTTATTACTTACAAATAAAAATTTCAAGCGATGTATCGTAATTATCGATATTTTATCGATATATCGCAAAGTATCCATAAAACATTGCGATATAGGTTTCATATTGAAAAAGTATCAATACTTTTTGTACATGGACATCCCTATATCATTATCGACTATGTGCTATACTATATAACTCAAACTAATTTAACTGGGTAATAAATGTTGAAACTCATATACTAACTCTTTGTGGTATTGTGTCTGAACTGCTGTTGGCCATGGTTTGAAGTGGATTATTATACGCAAAAGTGATGCGATTTTGTGTATTAAGTGTCTACGCATGAGATTTATTAGGGAAAATGACGAAAGAAGTGCTTTGATGTTGTTATAAACCTTTAAGTTTTTTGTTCACTTAGGCGCCTTTTGAACTTGAGTGACTGTTGTCATCGACTATCCGCTGAGTTGAGTTGTCGTCAAAATCTTACGAAAACTTGCAATGTGACGTATCAGCATAATATAGTGTAGAAAAAAATTATAAAAACAAAGACTACGAATAAAGTGCAGACGTAGCTTAAAAGATCAGCATTCAAACCATAAATCTTAAGTAAAAGTTTGTTATATAATAATCATAGTACTGTTATTAGTTTGTGACACAAACTAATAAGAGTACTAACGTAGTTTGTGAGACTGGAAATAATGCACAACTTAGAAATTGGCCTATAATTAGTGACATCAGTCCTAAGACTCTTCTTGTGCACAGGGGTGATATATGCACGTTTCCAAATATTAGGAACTGAGCATTCATCCAACGATTTACGAAATAGCAAACTTATTGGTAGTGCTATCGTCTTTGCACAATTAATAAGAAAAATGGCTGGTAGATTATCAGGTCCAGCAGATTTAGATGGATCAAGAGCTTTCAACAACCGACATACGTATTTAGGGTTAACTTCTATTTTTGATATATTTGCGGTTGATGTTGATGCCACATTAGAAATATTTGGAAGAGTTGATTGAGCGCCCTGGTATAAAAAATTTGACTTGAAATAAGTTGCAAACGCGTCACTAATAGACTGACCTGTGTTGTAGATTACACTACCTAAATTGAGACTACTGGGAATAGAGTGAGTTTTTGATTTACGTTTAACATATGACCAGAAATATTTAGGATTTTTTCTATTGAACTTTCAACGGTTGATATGTAGTTTTTATGACACATATCTTCCAAATATTTGACACGAGTGCGTAGTATTTTATACGATTCTTCATCGGATCTATTACCGTAGGTCCTGAATTTACGAAGATACTTATGTTTTTCTTTAATTGCTCTCTTTAATGCTGGGGAATACCATGTATGGTAGAACTCCGGTTTAATTATTTTTGACGGTATATGCTTATCTCTTAATTTCTCAAATATTTCATAAAAATATTTAATGGAATCATTAAGAGATTTCGAAGAGAATTCGGTTCGCCAATCAATTTCAGCATATTTTTCATTAATTGATTGATAATCACCTTTATTAAATAGAAACTTAATAAACGGAGTAGTTTTAAGTATGCTTAGCTCATAAAAACGTACTTCCATTACTAACGCTCCGTGAAAGGGATCTACTGGTACCAAAGAGTCGTCACTACAATCGGATACGGCTACATCACAGTTAGATAATACAAGGTCGAGTGTCTTACCATATTTATTGCGTATACCATTATATTGGCAAAAATTAAGCGCATTAATTTCGTCAACTAGTAACCGTTCATGGTGCGCACTATAGTTAATTGGCTCATAGCAATAATTACAAGAGTTGGAACAGTTGGAAGCGGGTATCCATTTTATGTTGCTTAAATTAAAGTCACCTACTATAAGATACTTATCCGTGGGATATTTTAAGACTGTATCATTTAATTTCGTAAAAAAAATTCAATAACTGGTCCGAAAAACTAAAGCTTCCATGTAAATTACATAAATATAAAACACAAATATGCAGAGAAGTAGGCATTTTACTATCGCTTTTTCTAACAGTAAGCGTGAGCCAAAAATCTTCAGCACTAGAGTTAAAGGTCGGTTGAGGTACAACAGGCAGCTCTCTGCGTGTCGCAATGAGCACACCGCCCCCGTACACTTGGCCCGTCCCAGCGTAATCACGATCGCGGCGCCACACAACATAACGACTATCAAATAACTCAGAGTTCGAAATACCATCCAGAAGCCACGTTTCAGTTATAACAATGACATCATATTTAGACAGGCAGGTTTTACGGTAGAAATCAGATGTTTTAGTACGCAGACCTCGTGCATTCTGGTAATAAATATTTAATAAAGAACTATTCGTGTTATTAATTAAATTGATAACCATTATGAATCATTAAATTAAAAATAAAATATAAACAAAGTATAATTAAAATTATAAAACTAGATAATATGCAGAAAGTCTTAAAATAATAACTAAAATTCCTTATTTTGATTTTAATTACAAACTCGAATAGTAAATCAACATCGTAAATAATTATCACGTTAAAACAGTGCTGTAATAGTAAATATGTAATTAAAAAAATAAAAATAGTATCAATATCATTCAATAACATAACGCAAAAAAGAATAGCGAGAAAGCCAAGTCTAGTATTAAAAGAATTGATTAAAGTGTAATGAAAAAGCAGGCTTTTAAGAACATGAATGTTGATGCAACGAAAAATTAAAGTTATTAAACTAAGCGGAATGCAGAAAGTCTTAAAATAACTACATAAAAATATATTATTTGTATTAGGGTTAATAGCATGATAAGAAAACAAACCAACACAAAAAAAATTAATAAATCAAAACATTTCAGCAGCGTGGAAAAAATACAATCAACATCATTCTGTACCAAATAGGATATAAGAGCGAAAAGAGCGAGCACAATATGCATACGGTTACCTAAAATATATCGATAAGGCGGGTAGAAACAATTATGCGTCAAGCAATATATCGAACAAAGAGTTTTAGAAAAAAACACAGAATAACAACAGCGATACATCGGCAAAGCAGGGGTTGTAAACATTTCATTACAAATGTAATTTACGGCAGAAGCAATTAAGCAATACGTAATTAAGCTGAGACATAAGTTAAGCAAATTATACGTTTGGAGGCAGATTAAGCTAACTTGTTTAAATCACTATCGCTTGTGATAATCATAACCCTCGTAGTATCGTTTTTTCTAACATAAATTTTACAATACTTTACCCAAACGTATTGATAATCCTTATCTTTACAAATATCTTTGGTTCTAGTTAACAAGGCCTTAGAATACGGTGTTAAGTGATCATTAACATACAGCCGTTGTTCGTTACCCACAAACCCAATGTCTTTCGCTGTCATAAACTTCTTACTTCGCGCCGAAGCGACAAATTCTTCCTTTATGTAGCGGTTGATGAAGTTGACAATA